AACAGGAACGTCCCGATCCGATTAGATTGAAAGATAACTTGAGCACATCCGATGCACCATTCGCATGCTCCACAAACTATCGAGCGGACTTTCGAGGTGCAGAACAGGAACGTCCCGATCCGATTAGATTGAAAGATAACTTGAGCACATCCGATGCACCATTTGCGTGTTCCACAAACTATCGAGCGGACTTTCGAGGTGCAGAACAGGAACGTCCCGATCCGATTAGATTGAAAGATAACTTGAGCACATCCGATGCACCATTTGCGTGTTCCACAAACTATCGAGCGGACTTTCGAGGTGCAGAACAGGAACGTCCCGATCCGATTAGATTGAAAGATAACTTGAGCACATCCGATGCACCATTTGCGTGTTCCACAAACTATCGAGCGGACTTTCGAGGTGCAGAACAGGAACGTCCCGATCCGATTAGATTGAAAGATAACTTGAGCACATCCGATGCACCATTTGCGTGTTCCACAAACTATCGAGCGGACTTTCGAGGTGCAGAACAGGAACGTCCCGATCCGATTAGATTGAAAGATAACTTGAGCACATCCGATGCACCGTTTGCTAGTTGCACGAACTATCGATCCGATTATCGAATCACTGGTGATGAGTGTCGATCAAAACCGGTAAAAATCAACGATAATCTGTCCGTGAGTGACGCGCCATTTGTAGATTGTACCAATTATCGTGCTCATTATCGGCATGGAGATGAGCAACGTCCCGAACCGATCAAATTGAAAGATAACCTGAGCCTGAGTGATGCTCCGTTCGATCATTCGACTAGTTATCGTGCTGATTATCGTGGAGGAGAACAAAAACGCCCAGATCCAGTTTTTCCTAAAGACAGTCTGATAATAGGAGCTCCTCTTGGTTGTCACAAGAAACATGTTTGTGTTTGCACTTGTGGGCGTGCAAAGGGAAGTACGAAAAAAGCATCCGAAAATCAAACGTCTGTATCCACCGTCATGAATGTTTGCTGATTCTCTGCGTTTCTCGATAAAATGATTCCATAAATAGTTTTCGATTCTGGATGGATTAAAATGCCAACTTTCCCAAACGCTGTCTGTTCACCCAATGTCAGGCCGTTTAAGATGTGTACAGATGCTAATTGACTTGATGCGGTATGGACTCGGCCCATAGTATGATTCAGAAGCATTGGAACTAATTCTGATTACGAGTGTAAATATTTATTGCAAGCTGTAAGGCATCCTGACACACCCTCAGCGCTTTACTTCCTCCTCACAACGGCTGTGTTTATGTCGTCGGTTGTCACTTCGTATTCGTCCCGACTCCCTGCGATCCATATTGAGCTCTAGAAAAAACAACGGTACTATCATTCAAACGTTCCAAACATACAGCCTGTGTGTATGTGTTTTTCTCGGTTCGATTTTCATTGAATAAGTTGACTTAATCGAACTGATTGCAGAACCTTTACCAAGCAGTATCGTTACAGTCGTGCACTCTATGTTGTTCTCAATATGGCTCTCCTTGTTATCCTCTGTTTTCTCATCAGTAACATCCGATTCATTCATGCTAATGATAAAACAGACAGAGATGAAATAGACGATCAGCTCGCTCGATGAGCCAACGCGTTTCTTCCCATCTGTGTTCTTGCCATCACATACTGACTAACACACAACGGGTTTTGAACTGGTACAAATCCACAAAATGCGGTTTCACCTGTTTCTCGCTCCCAATAAAATACACCTCTAACCTCACGGTGTTTTTTGTTGGTGGTTTTGACCGGTTATGGATTGTTAGCTTCGGAATTGAGTGCAATGGCATCACTCTTTTTTCATTTTGGTTTTGCCCTCACTTCACAAAGCTTATTTTTCTCATGTTAAAAATTTTGCGTCGGCACTAGTTTTTCACTCGACATCCTTCTGTTTGGAGTGTCTCATTCCATTGCGAAAATACTATGTCGTCGGGATGTTCCGGCACAAGAATTCGCATTAGAGTACACCCAGGTTTTTCTCTAAGGAACTTTTTTTCGAACTGTTTTGTCTGATTCACGATCCTTAACATGGGTATTGAGGACACTGAAGCTGACTGTTTTTCTCTGTTACAACAATTGGGCTTATTATGGGCCTGATCTCGATGTTATCTTCTTACTGTCTCCTGGACGTTAGCTGCATTTGAACTGTGGATTAACGGTGTTCACAAACAGAACTAGCCGGATCCCGTCATGTTACGGATCAGGATGGGCATCAGCCGGAATTATTCGCAGTGCACGTCCTTGTCTCAAAGAAGTATGTCAGAAACGCTTCCTTCGTTGACTACTAAGCATGGACCTGGGACGGGTCCAGTATTTCGAAGCTCGCACAAACTGTCAGCTGAGGGACCGCACCGTGCATGCAGCTGTATGGAGGAGTTGATCTGCGATCCAATTTCATCACCAAACGACCTTCATTCATCTACGTGAACGGACAGTCTTGTGGGAAATTCGATTTAGCTTGGGTTACAACTTTATGCAACATGCACTGCTCTCGCGTCCACAAAATCAATTCTATCTTGTAACTTGTGTTTTGGATAAACTCTGAAACACATAATGACCGTTCACCTTGCGGACAGACTGACTGTCCTTGGGTGGTGTACCAACCAAATAACTTTCTTTGTCCCCTAAAACAGACTGAATTCTTGTCTGATTTAAAGGGAATGGTGGCTTGTGTTGCAGACAAAATAGACTGGACCTTGATTTTTTACCTAGTGACCAATGCATGCAAGCCATATTTTTGTCTCAGTGTTAGTGTTCTCAGGGTTTGGGGAAGACTGAAAACTTCTGCATACGATTGAGACCCTCAGTAAATTGATTCTTCTCAATTATTATTGACAGTTTTGCTGTGGAATCTCAATATAAGCACTGCGTATTATCACCGTGCTACTCAAAAATAGGAAAGGCACTGTTTACGAATTTGACGGAGCAACAAAAAACCACAAAGAACCATGACAAACCAGATATACATGTCTGAGAGTGAGGCCGGCACATCGATTGGTTTTGAGATACATGAATTAGGTTTTATGGAGTAATTGACGATATGCAGTTTGTGAGAGCCTTTCTGTGCCCCAAATAGTGCTTGTCTGATCTATTCAAAACACCCCCAGTGCGTATTGCAGAGATGCAAAAAAAATTATTTTTCAACGTAGGGTTATCAAGAATGTCCTTCCATAGTTGTTACTGTTTCTGACGGCTTTATGTTGGATCTTTAGCTTAGAATCTCTCCGAATTTGAACCGAATCAGTACATTGCGAAGGAGTTTGTAAGTTACTATTCATCCAGGAAGCGATGATTTCATGACCAAGTAAGTGGAAGATTTTTAACTTATTGTATCGAGAATAATGTTATGTATTCAGGAGTGTTTGTTTTTTAATCTTTCGATTTCCTAATGTACTAATGTGGTCGAACGGTTTAGATGAGGCAACCATGTGCTCCTTTATATATTACTGTATTTGGGTTACCCATTTGGTCGAGTACTGAACGAACGAGGATAGGAATGAACTAAATCGCTGTTCAGATAAAGATTCAGAAGGTCAGTAAACTAGACGTGTGTGTACGTTTACACGAGCACCACTGTTCACTACACAGCCTCATCATTCAGTGCCTGCAACCATCGATTATCTTCGTCATGAGATCTTCGGTAGGGTAGCTTATTGTGACCTACTTGATCAAGCCCACTAGTTGCGAGGTCTGACCAATCCTGGCTTTCTTCAAACTCCCGCCTGCCTCAGTAGGTCAAGCAACTGAGCACGCGATCCCTATCATCTAATAGTTTTCGCCTAACTTAGGAACTGGTTAGAAGTGTTTGGGGTTACGGTACTGGTGTTGTGACATACTCACTTGTGAGTAGTAGGTAACTTTCGATAATCAAAAATATAACAAGACCATTAGGGGCCAAGTGATATGTTTGGAAGAATAACTACTAACTGCTCTATACACTACCTTGTGTGTCGGAAAGAATTGCGATGGCACGTTTCTGATTAGGTTTCTGTGTTATGCATATCAAATTAGTAACCCCCCTCATTAAATAAATATCCTCGACCAGCACCGTCTTTTGGAATTATAACACTGGTACTGCTTGCGCAAACTGAAACTAAGTACCTCTTCCTTAGGAACCTGCCCTTTTCTTGCCAAGCTGTTTCTTTTCTCTGGTCCACATCAGTTACTGAACCCTCAGTTGTAGCTCCACAAAGTAGCTTGCATGTGAAAATGGTCACAACCCAGTGACCAATTGGGAAAGTGTGCCAATGAGAATAGCCGGGATACTGCAAACACGACACGTCGCGACCTGCGGTTTGTATGTGAAATAGGTCCAGCAGACTGGGTGCTACAGATAGTGTTCTTGATCCAACAGTTAGAAGGCATTGAATCACCGCAAAAGCCTTTTCGGACAAGAGTAGAGATGCATCCTTTACAAAAGTGATGTTTGGGGATCACTCCTACTGAATTCTCATGGTCTTCTATGGAGCATTTATAAGTCTGTCTCATCCTCGTGGATGATATTGCTGAAGTAAAATATAAAAACCATTAGTTGGCCGATCATCCACCGTACGAGTTGCTCTAGGGTTCAGTCACTAGGAGATCGTTGTGATTTCCCCTACCCATGATATCAAAATAGTTGCCAGTTACTTTAGTTCTCCGTAGATCATCGAGTTTTCCTCCGTATTACCAACTTAAAAGACAGCGATACATTATTCCATTTAAATGCGCCAAGTGACCCTAAAATGGATCATATTATACTAAGTTGCCATTCGCGTTGTTCAGTACAAAATTATGGTTCCTTCCGACCCGCTTGCAATGTTTCGTCGCAATAGTTTGATGAGGTAATCGGACAAACAATTACCGTGTTAGAGAAAAACTTGTGGGTCATTGTGACCTCTGATTAGTGCACGTGATTGACTTCTGTGAATTATGATCACTGAGACGTGTATTACACATATTGTCCAGTAGGAGGCTTTGTTGTGCCATATTACCAGAGGTGGATAAAAGTTGAAAGAAGGCAAAGGCTAGTCAAACTAAGACCCGATATGAGGCTATCAAAACCCGGACTAGCCGGAACGGTCACTTGAGCCCGTTAGTTTTCATAATTGAGGACCACATATCCAACCTAATCAATTATTGGAGATACTGAGTGATATGATTTAATGTCGTGAATAGTGACGCTCATCTAATTACTTCCTCTGGTTCACTTTTTTCTGTATTCCTGCTTTCTCTAGGTTTCTTAACTTTGGAACTCCTCCTTTTACTCATTCTTCATTGATTGACCCAATTGTTAGTCGAAAGATAGCCACCAGCACGAAAGTGAGGGTTTAGTGCTTGTCTAATTTGAAGCGGACACTTGCGTCACCTGTTTTCATTGTCCTCGTCCATTTTGGGCGGGGAAAACAGCTGTTGTCACCGCATCAGAGACACACAAAAGAAATCAAGTATCTATCTTTGGGGAGGTGGTATTCAGATTCGATGATTTGCTAGATTACAATTAGGTTTAAAAATCTATTACCCGTTTCGACCAATTTTGTAACTTTATTAGACTGCTGAGCGCATTAGTTTGAATGCAAGACTTCACTTAGAAAATATGTTCTGTTATTAGACTTTTGCGGTCATGAATCTTTATCCCCGCAGTTGTGATAACAACATCTTTGGTCCTCTTTCATTCTTATCTGAGGTAGACATGTATCATATTATTCGTATTCCGAGCGTTCGTGGATGATAGAGTGTGATGGTTATATCCAGTGTCCATTCAAATTCTATGATGTAGTCCAAATGCTATGAAGAAGGCTGGTAACAACTGTCGCTGGCTCATATTTTGTAGCAAGTCCGCTCGTTCGCATCAGAACACCCCAAATTCCGAATTCCTTTGCGAAAAACTGCTCTATCTGTCCACCAAATCACACAATCTATGGAGGTGGATGTGGAGTCACCTATGTGAGCAGGAGAGAGAGAGAGAGAGAATTACGTATCTGGGTGACCGAGCGTGAACGGACC